GACTCCTGACCCCCCACCCAGTTGCATCTTGGCAGGCTTAAGGAAAAGCTGGCAAAGGAGCAGGATCGGAGAGTCAGAACGATGCATCAGTCGAGCATAGGCGAGCTTTCGAGCTGGGTCGCGCAGGCAGTGGTTTCCGACCTTTCCGAGAAAGTTGAGTTAATGTCATCACAGATACAAGAAAGCCAAGCTGCGTGCGCCCTCAGTCATTTGTTGCACATCGTGGATGGAACTTATGCATTCGTACAAATTCCGAACCTGTTTGCTGAAGATCAGAGGTACGTAAGTGCGGTCCAGAGAGAGGAGGTGCTCAAGGAGCAAGTAAGCAGGTGTCGGGCTTGGCTGACGTTTCCCTGTCACTTCCACAGCGCCGCGAGGTTCGAGGAGAAGCTGCAGGCTGGGTGGCGGTTCGCTGGAGCAATGAGGAGGGAACAGCTGGAGACTCTTGCAAACGATCCCTAAATCGAGGATGCCACGGAACGTGGCGACGTTCTGGAGAAAGGTCCAGGGCTGGGCTTGTTGCTGCACAAGACAAGCTCTTGCATTGCTGGGTTGCTAGCAAAGCGTCAGGCTTGAAACATGTAGAAGGAGAACGTGAGGTGCGGGATGACCCGGTGGCACTGTCACAACAGAAACATCGGGCTCGGGTACTCCGCAGGTCTACAAGGGACAAACTCACGTTCTGTGGCTTGGCAGCATGTTTAGTGGACCGTAACCTTCATGGTCTTAGCGGGAGGAGGATGCGTTTACTCTGTGCTCTGGTCAAGACTGAGAGTGCTGGACTCGAAAAGGCGAGAAGACCTCCTCGACAAGCAGACAAAGCTCCGTTCTCAGGAGACTTCTGGCGGCTAGACTTGGTGCCGTCAGCTCACGGCGAAAGAAGGTCAAGAACTGAAGCGCGAGCACCGTGCGAATTTCTGTCTCTTCTTCCGTGTACATGGTGGGTCAGAAAAGACGCCCTGGTTGAACTTCTTGACATTCTTTTGCCAGTCCAGGGCCTTTGGGACAGACTCCTCTCTCTCACACGCACACACATGTCCGCATGCATGCTTTTGCAGGTATGGATGTTTTCATGCATGGTTTCACCTCCCGCATGGTCCACGCCTGCTCCTTCATTCCATTGCTGATTGCATGTGTGGATACTACAAATGACCGTCACTTCTGCTTCTCTTCACATGCCCCTGCCACTGGGTTCCCAGACGGCGCAGCAGTAGGCTCCAGGCCCTGAGGTGCTGCGCCGTCTCTAGGTTTTGGGGGCGCCGCACCGTTTTTGGTTTTTAGATCGGCAATAAAGGGACACTGCCTTCCTGACGAGGTCAAACCTTGGGAGACACTCTGAGCATTGAGATGTGTAAACTCCTTGTCCAGACGATGATTCAACCTTATTAATGCGGCACTGTGTGTCGGCCAAAGCCTCTGGAGGCTGCAAGGCATGTGATGCTTTATGTCTTTCGAAGGGTGTCTGAACTCCTTCGGCAACCGGCGCCAAGCTTCCGTTGCACTTGGTGAGGCCGTAAGGCACGTGCCCGTCGGGCAAGAGTCTGGGCAGCCCAGGCTCCGCAGTACGAACAAGGACCTTACTATGACCGTGCTCGCCTCAAGCTTTCTCGCTTGTTTGCGGGTGGAATCGCTCATGCCATGTAGCAGCACCTTTCACAAGGCAGTTGACCTCGAGAGTCTCAAGGCCTGGGGACACAAAGAGTGAGAACATGTGTAGAGCTCGCGCTCAACAACTTTTTCCTGAAACAACGGGTGTGAGGAATCTCATGAAGGAATGGCAGAGGATCTCAAGAAGCTGGCTTCCCGGCGTTTCTGAGATTATTCAGGAATTGTCTTTGGATGCTCCGAGTTGTTGAGGTCGAAGAAGCAATATGCCGAAGCCGCCCTACGCGTAGAAAGCCTTGAAAAGGCACAGCCTGAAGCACTGTGTAGTTCCTGAGTCATAGATTTCTACACGTGGCATGTCAATGTGTCGAAGTTCCATTGCCGTCAACAAAGTGCGTCCGCATGCAGGAGTGTCAAGAGGCTAAAGCCCAGTTGGAGATCAAGGAGAGGCAAGCTGCTGGGCCACTCAGACTCCGAGTTTCCTCTCGAGCAGATTAGATATCAGCCAGTCGGAAAGTCGAGGCCAGGCTCGAAGTGGTTGTGGACGAGCTAAACGTGAAGCGTGCAACTGAATGCTCCAGAAGCTCCTGACACCTGCTCGACCTACTCTGCTCTTGCCTGAGGCTTGAGGATGCAATCCTAGAGTACACCGAGGAAAGGAAGCAAGCGAAGGATTATGCCACTCGGGGCGCGCGAGATCAGAGTCTGCAACAACCGTCCAAAGCAGAGCGGCCCCGCAAAGGCAGAGAAGCTCCACAGCAAAGACTCCCAGGTCAAGAAAATAGCAACAGAGGTTGGCCAGACGATGCAGATTTTCGTAGAAAGGAGGAAATTGCTGGCAGGCGACCTTCTCCAAGGATTCAGTTCAGCGGCTCTGCGGTGACATCAAGCAGTTCCAGGAGACAAGGGAAACTGGTCAACTGCACCTTGGGGCGAACCGGCAGTCCTCAGGACAGAGAAGCACAGCTCAAAGACCAGATAAGGAGTCTAGAAGGCACCGTGTCGGACGGATGGTCGGTCCTTGCTGCGGTGCAGCGTGTAGCCATGTACGCCTGCTTTAGCCACTATTGCGGTATGGCAGCGTGTGTCAAGATCGAGATCGCTTGGGAACAGGTGAAATCGAGAAGTGGAAGCAACGACTTGGAGAGTCTCAGGGGGAGGCTTGAACTTTCAGGGTCCAGTGAAGCAGAGAGCGAGCCCGCTGCAAATTGTAGGTCTCCGAGTTGAAGGACGTCAACTGGCGAATCGCAGAGGCCCCGTCCCGAGTATGCCCACTCAGAGAGTGTTCCGAGCGATTTTAGATGAAGGACCTGCAGAAGTCCAAAGTGAGCCTCAGAGAGGTGGAGGTCCCGCAAGCCACTGCAACGGGGTTCACGTCCTCTCCGTCGCTTTGCACTGCTTTGCTCTGCTTTTCGACGAGGCCATGGTCAAGAAAACGACCACCGAGCTCAAATCTGGGAAAGGTCGCATGGTGGAAGCGGAGGACCCGCCCGATTACACTCCGTCGCCACAGTGGCGTCATGCGCAGCAATCAGGCAAGGAATATCGAGTTAAGCGCAAATGTGGCGAAGCTGATGGAGGCGTTGTCCAAGCGGGGTGTTCTTGTATGGCAACAGAAAGTGGTGAGGCCCCCATTTGCCCCAAAAATCTCCTTGCAACAGGCCTTGGTGCAGGCCGAGGCCCGAGAGAAGGAGGCCAGGTGCTGTTCTTTGTGCTTCAGCAAGTTGACGCACCTCCGGTGCACCCATGAGGCTTTAGAGCTGCTTGCCGAAGGCAAAGGTCAGAATTCCGCAGTGAGGTGTGATGGTACGTGAGTCGGCAAAGCTGTCGAGTTGCAGGACCGGAGAAGGAACGAAAGAAGAAAAAGATGCAAAGGTCACGGACGACTGCCAGTATGGAAGGCAGCATCTTACACAGTCCTTTCTCAATACCAGGGATGGTCGAGTAGTTTAAGGCTGCTGCAATGATGTTGGCACAGCAATCCCCGTAGGTGGCCGGACGGCTGCGAGCTGATGGCTGACAGATGATTTGTCTGCGACAGCCAAATCACGAAGTCCTGAAGTGCTCGTCTGCTGGCGCAGTAGACTGGATCACATGCCATGCGCTGTGCAGAAGCTGGAAAACTGTGGATAGAATTTGGAGACCTGCTACCGCAAATGTGGAGCAAGGACATGACTTTGTGGGCCCTGTGTTGGCAGATCTGGCCCGAGATCTGGCAAAGAGGGCCAGTCGGAGTCACAGAAAAAGACTCCAAAGGGTTCAGAGGGCCAATCGCGCGGCAGAGCATCCGGGAGCAATGTTCGACGTAATAGCAAAGTCTATGGTATCATTACGAATTTAAGTTTGGACCAACATCACCTGTTGATAAGACCCGACAGCTTCGTGGGATTCTGGCCAGGGGCAGCTTAGCAGCCCAACTTGGACGCTGTTGACCTGTTGAAAATATGCGTGGCGAGCAGCTCGCCAGCCCGCACCGCTTCCTTTGCTGCGGGAGCAGGTCCTCCAACGGCTGTACCCAGCTGTGTCGGAGTCGCCATTGCTTCGGCCTCGGGAGATCCCGCCTCGCGGGCAGACATCTGCATTTCGCCACATGTGAATGTCTTAGGCCTGAGTTCGCGTCGTACCCGGAGGCACTGCAGCCCGACAGAAGCATGAACCATTCCAGTTGTTCTCCGATTATTTCGGTACTCCATGGCTGCCCTGCATGCGTGCAGTAAGTACGCACGGTCAGGCCTTCAACGACATATCTGTAATGACTTTTCCTCTGAGCTTGCTACAAGCGATGCCGGTTGGGCCGGGCAGCTCACATGGAAAATGGCGCAGAGAGTAGCAGTAGAGGAGGTCCAGACGAACAAACATGCTGCTTCCGAATCCTGTCCTGCTGACATCGCTGGCCCCGGTAGCTATGCAGAACAGAAAGGCGCGCCATGACTACATCCTCTGAATGCCGCTCCTAAAATTCTAAACATCATCCAGGCACCAGAAAATCGCAACCATGGACAAAGGTCCTGTTTCATCGCTCGAGCCACACATAAAGGATCGCCGCAGCCACGCGAGGGAGACTTCATCTCATCACCTCAAGCCAGCTTTCAGTACGTGCTGGCTGCTAGCTTCAGCTTAAGCTTGCTCCCTTGGCGGCCGGTTGGGCCTCTAAGAACGGCTCAGCTGTGGATGGGACGTTCCCGCCATGCCCGGAGCAGAGCAAAGACCAGCTGTCGCACAACGACAGATCTTCCAGAGTTTTGTCTCAGCTTCGCACATTCCCAGGCTGCACCGCTTCTCCTGCAAGGCCCTGCAGATACTTCGAAGATTCCATGAGAGTTTGTTGGCGCAGGCACAAGCCCTCATGCTGGAAGCTTGGCTCACAACAAGGTTAGAAGATTTTGTGCAAGCTGATGGCTCCGATGGCTGATGGCAAGCGCATCCGCTCACGCGGCAATGCCGTGGCGCTGTTGATTCTGGCTGCCGTCGCCTTCGAGGCCTTCCAACTGACCTTCAGTGCGCCGCAGACACCGCGGGCCCCAGGATTTGGAGCTCTTGGGCGACTCCAGGAAGGCCAGGCCCGGTCGGTCGCTGTAGCTGCCTCGGAGTCCGAGACGGCAGCATCCCAAGCCTACTTCACCGGAATCGGCTGGTATCTGATGCACTTTGTCGTAGGCATCTGCAACGACGGCATCATGAAGTTCTTGGGTGAGAACCTGCCTCCATTCCAGATCGTCTTCTTGCGATTCTCCGCAGCTGCACTCGTCTTGCTGCCAGTGCTGGCGATTCAGGGGAAGAGCGCTTTCAAGTCGGCAAGGCTTTCCATGCATGCTGGACGAGGAGCACTTCTTGCACTGGGCATTGGCCTGTGGTGCTATGGGCTCAGCATCATGCCTTTCGCTTCCTGTGTCGTCATTAACAACACCATGCCTTTCTTCAAGATGCTCTTTGCGCAGCTCATTCTTGGGGAGAAAGTTGGCAAGCAGCGATGGCTTGCAAGCCTTGCAGGTTTCATAGGCTGCATAATCGTCTTCAATCCCACAGCCGCAACCTTCAAGCCTCAGTCTTTGGTGCTTCTTCTGTCCGCGTGCTGCTTTGCCATGCTCGACATCTTCAACAAGAAATACACAGCATCTGAGACTGTGACCTCGATGCTGTTTTATGGCGCCTTGGCCACAGCTGCCATCTCCGCGGTGCGTGCAATTCCAAGCTGGGTCCCCGTCACGGGACCTCAGATGGCCTTGATTGGATGCTTGGGAGTTGGTGCGAACTTCCTGCTTTTCTGCTTGCTCAGGGCCTTCAGGTACGTGGATGCCTCGGCAACCTGCCCGTACCGGTACACGGAGTTTGTGCTCTCTGCTTCTGTTGGATTCTTCCTATTCAAAGAGATGCCATCCAAGTCGACATTCCTCGGCTCCTGCATCATCCTGCCATCAGTGATTTACACGGCGCTTGTCGAGAGCAGACAGGCCAGTCAGGAGCAGCAGTCGGAGGACAAAGTGGAGGCTTGAGGGGAAAGTGTGGAGACTTGGACGTTGTCTATGTGCGACTCTCTGCACAGTAGACATTCTGTCAGCTTCGAACTTGAAGTTGCAAATCTTCTGGCCGTGATTAGGCCGCGCATGAGGACACTCCTGTTTCCTGTCTTCAAGCCGCCGAGTCTCCGGCAAGGTGAACAGGTCGTTTCGAGATGTTCCTAAACGTTTCACACGAACCCCAGAGCCCGAGAGCCGAAGATGTAGGGAGCCTAGAAAGGAGCGCAACTTGGAGAGCCCTTGAGTGCCGGCTGCGTTGCGTTGGCGCGTTGCGTTGTTCTGCTCAAAGCATTGCTGTGCCTTTGAGGGAGCGCTGATTTGTTGGCACCAGGCAGGGGCCCTGCGAGCCTCCAGGGCGGCCTCGGCGAGGCCGGGGCCGCGGCCCTCGTCGGGTCGAAACACAGCAAGGTGTGCGCTTGTCTAGGCTTTTGGGGACCTGTTTGAAGCTCAAGTGTGGCCGACTGCCGAAGCTGCCGGTATTCCTCTCTTCGCTTTGACTTTCAGCTTTTGGATGGAAGTTGAGACCCTCACTGTAGTGAAGGTTTTTAACCTCTCTTAGTCATAGTCTCTCTACTTGTAGGGGTTCGCGCACATAGACTGTTTTCAAAGGCACGCATTACTCAACACCACCCACTAGAAATTTTTGTCATGGAGTCGAATTGCCTTTCGGCAAGGTGTATGTCCTGTTCAGAAGCCTTGCTGGCATTGTTCGTACTCGCCGTGTCGCTGTGTCTATGACATGTCCATCTGACCAGATTCTGTCCACACTAGCCATGGGTGCGGTTTGCTGCGGGTACTTCTACGTGGAGTAGACAATTCTTGTACTGTTTTGAGGAATGCCCTTGGGTCCCAGATGGCGTGGTCGCGGTCCTTCGCAGTTGGAGGTTTGGAGCACAAGGCGCGAGATCCGCGAGATTGCTAGATCTCACTGTCGGCGATGTTAGCGACGTAGCGGCATGGAAGGTCCCAGAGCCTTGGCTCCACGATCGGCCTTTCCGGTTGGAAGAAATACCAGGCACGGGGCAAAGGGCCCAGAGGGCGGGGGCTGAATTCGAAGCAGAGGCCGCGGCCTCGGTGCTGTGGCCACGAAGGACCTTCTGCCGTGACCTTGACGGGTCTGAAGCAAAATCTATAAATCTCTCGCAAGGAAAAGCTTTAAACCGTGAAGCTGCAGGCCGGGCGATGTGGTGCTGCTCGAACGCCCCATCTTGGCAATTCGCAGTGATGAGAAGGGCACGGAGCCTACAGTACCTCGCCCCCTTGTGCTTCTGTAGTCTTCCGCCATTCGCTGCTTTGGTTGTTCAAGCGTCCCTCGTGCCGACTTCTCGTAGTGATGTGACTTCTCTCAGGCGATGAGTGGAATCATGACCTTCACAGCCAGTGCTCGCAAAGTGTGCCTGCTGTCTGTGCCTCTGACAGCTAACAGCCTTCCAGGTACAAAGCGCTCTCTGAAGAAGGCCGGGCAGAGGTCGACGAGCTCAGCCGTGAAGTTGGCTCGTTGCTTCCATTCGGGCATGTCATGTGCTGCTGGGCAGTTGGCGAAGGCGGTGCTGTGGCTTTTATCTCAGGGTCACATCTCGTGAGGTGTGGAAGCTTCATGACGCTTGCCTCCAGAAGCCGGAAAAGTGGGCTCGGGAGGAATTCATTCACGGGATCGAAAAGGCTTTGAGTCCTTGCAGGTCTCTGGAAGGCATTTTGTTCACAAACTGCATCGGCCGAGATCAAACTGTGAGGCAGGAGGTCTGTCACTGACAGTGATTCGGGATGGATGAAAACAGATACCGGCACTGCAGGTTTGATGCAGCCCTCTGCTTGGCGTTGAGTCGTTTCAATCACAGTTGCTGCCCAGCCCCGAGCTGCATTCCATGGGCAGCAGCTTGAGGTAAATCTTGTAGTTTTGGCAACTTACAGTGAGCTCCGAGGCCCAAATCTCGAGCAAAGCTGGGATGAAGATGCTGGGCATGTTCCTAGCTCAGGTGACGTCCGTGTTTCCATGATGTCGTTGAGCCTCACGAAGGTCCGGTTGGTCGCCGCGCAGCCGGTCAAGGCGGGCGAGGAGCTCTTCACGCACTATGCGGCAGCCTTGGCTCCACGGCCTTTCGTGTTCTTCCGGGCCCTTCCCGCGCTGAGGTGGAGTTGAGGGAATGCCGTGAAGAGCGGCAACAACGGCTCCAGGAGTCTTACGGCTTCCTGCCACCGGCCTCAACAAGGGCCAACGGTGCAGTGCCACCAGATTTCACTTCAGCTTCGGCCCTGCCATGCCGAGAATGTCCTGAGGTGTTCCAGCACCAACACATGTCCGGTGTGCTCGGGCTCGGCGGAGAGTGACAAACGGCGGTCCGCGTCCAAGCAAACTAGGCAGCCAGGCCGACATGTTGATGCAGTTTCAGAATTTCAGAAGTGGCCAGGACCGAAATGGTGCGTGCGAGGCTCAGGAGCTCCAAAGATTCTCAAGAAATCTCAAGACATCTACATACATCTCCTCTCGTTCAGGGTCTTCCGCTGTCCCCGTAGCTGATTCTTCTGGCACCAGAGCCTGGGTGCAGAAAGCGACGTTTTTCGTGCTCGATAGTCCTTTGCGCTGTTCGCGGCGCCTCGGCCTTTGCAGGGATTCGAGTTCCTCCGAACCTCAATGCCCTCGACCTAGAGGGCACGAAAGATCCTGGCACCATGCTGGCTCCTGGGTCCGTAGGTAGGTAGGTAGGTAGGTAGGTAGGTAGGTAGGTAGGTAGGTAGGTAGGTAGGTAGGAGGAAGGGTTCGACCTGCAGCTGTTTCTGCGGCTTCCACCACTCTTCCCTGCCCAGCATTCCGTAAACCTCATCAGCCCCCTCCGCGGGAGGTTCCAGAGGGGGACATTTAGGTGAACAGATCAACCAGAGGGGATGAGAAGGACCGTGGAGGAGGCGCGCGAAAATAAGAGAAAAACATAGAACCAAAAACAAGGCGGACAAGGCCGGAGGCCATAAATTCCAGGCAATGCAGACGCGAGGGCCGCTCTTTTTGAAACCGGAAGCGGCGCAAGGAAGTCTCGTTGGAAGGGCAGTAAGGCCCTAAAAACTTGGTAGACTTCTCGATGTGTGCGTGTTTTTGTACCCAGACCCCTGATCTCGGGGCAAGAAGGCGGGTCTGGAACGACATGAGGAGCCCTGCTTGGTAAATGAAGTGGAGGGAAACATGGTGGACGAAAAGGAAAGAAGTGGACCTACGGCCTATCGAGGGGGCGAGAAAGGGGGTCTGGAACGACACCCTGCTTGGTGACGAAGTGGAAGGAAGCGACCTACGGCCTTACTTTATCCCCGGACCCCCGATCTCGGAGAGAGAGAGGGGGTTCTGGAACGACATGAGGGGTCCTGCTTGGTGGACGAAATGGAAAGAAGCAGACCTACGGACTTGCGAGCCTTAGAGGGTCGTTTGCCCAGACCCCCGATCTCGCAGCGAGAAGGGGGGTCTGGAACGACATGAGGAGCCCTGCCTGGTGACGACAGATAGAAGCAGACCTACGGCCTCACGAGGGTCGTTTTGCCAGACCCCCGATCTCGGAGCGAGAAGTGACGGAGTGGAAAGAAAGCGGACGTACGGTCTTACGAAGGTCGTTTACCCAGACCCCCCGATCTTGGAGCGAGGAGGGGGTCTGGAACAATGAGGAGCCCTGCTTGGTGGACGAAGTGGAAAGAAGCGGACCTACGGCCTTAACGAGGGTCGATTACCCAGACCCCCGATCTCGGAGCGAGAGGGGTCTGGAACGACATTAGGAGCCCTGTTCGGTCGGCGAGATGCCCTACGAACGGCGAAACGGAAACTGAGGAAGCGGCTGAAGAGAAGATGGGCGGATTGGCCAGGAGGAATGTCGGCGAGGAAGCGGGAGAGAAGCCAGTCGTGAGACCTAAATAGCCTAAGGAGAAGGGCACTGTCACCCCGATGCAGCTGTCGAACCAAGCTGTGGGTGCTCATCGGGCTTAGAACGAAGTCCTTAGTGCCGCCCCGGGATCCCACACACCTTATGGGAGGGGAAACGACAGAAGACTGCGACGGGCCCCGCGCAATCACGACTAATTTTGCGTTAACGTGAGACTTGCTAACTGAATGTCCAGAAGCAGCTTGATGCTGGGCCTTGCTGACGGAAAAAAGGAGTCCCCCCAAAGCCAAGCCAACATGCTTCACACCACCACGCGTGAATCAAGACTGCTTGAGCGGGTCGTCGAGCTGTCGAAGCAGAGATCTGTGCGGATGTGGAGGACGAATATACATTGCTCAGAATTCTGTTTTTGCATGCCTCATGAGTTCCACTCGTTTCCTTCGTCGACACAGCTGCCTGACATGTGGATCGAAAGGGATGGCATGCGTAGGGGTCAAAGTAGCACCTTCTTGTACTTTATATGGTCTGGTCCCGGGATTTGGGCATTGCTCTGAGGCTTGGATGCGAGCATCCGGAAAGATCGGCTGAGCAATCTCGAGCAAAGTGAAAGGGCTGCGGCCTCGGACCCTCTGCATCAAAGACAGTGTGCACGTGCATCTTAGCTTTGAGTCCTGGAATCCATTACATAAAGGTTGGCACGAGGGCTTGCGCTTTGGGAGTTGATGTGAGCGGGTAGACGAAATTTCTGAAGGAGTGCCGATTGCGGCCATTTTTTTCGCTTCTGTGGCCATTGTTTTTGTTTAGCAGTAAACAGGAGTAGTGGAGTAGTAGTAGTAGTAGTAGTAGTAGTAGAAGAAGAAGTAGTAGTAGTAGTAGTAGTAGTAGTAGTGGCGTCAGCAGTAGCGGCAGCAGTAGCAGTAGCAGTAGCAGTAGCAGTAGCAGTAGCAGTAGCAGCAGCAGCAGCAGCAGCAGCATCAGCAGCATCAGTAGTAGTCGCGGTCATGATGGTGGTGGCAGTGGGAGTCGGAGTGGCAGTGGCAGTGGTATGGGTAGTGGTAGGAGGAAGTTTGCGCTGCCAGGCTAGGCACGGATTGGGATTTTGGGCTATTACACTGGTAG